GATGGTTTGTCTGCAATCTCCCAGCAGGCAGAGGTAGACGCGCTCTTTATACAATCATTTATATCAACAGCAGGTGAAAACAGACAGACGTGTCACTCGTACGATGTATAATCAGCAGGGCAGGCAACACATGACAAGGTATACATGAGGTTATACTGTATATCTAAGATATAAAAGGTTCCCTCCCCCCCGGGGAGATACCTTGTGTTCACCGGTATCATGAAGTGATACATGATTTTTATCTCTGATCAATGTTGCAATGTAATATAAAATCTGCCCGGTGTCGCCATTTTGAATAGTTATCTGCAGCGCCCGGGAGCACTGGGTCGTCCTGCGCTACCAAATACATGCAAGTTGCTGATAGAGATTTACACAGATGGAGCAATAATGATGATTTTTCCACCGCCGAGTACTCAGCAAAGAACATAGAACGCGAAAGACGATTGCTACATTGTTTCAACGTGCCCAAAATGTTCACTTTTAAAATGTTCATTCACACAGCCGGAATATGTGAATGTGCCATGATGCGTCTTTCACCGGCGTGGAGTTTTTTTAATGAATTGTCTCACCTGGTGAAAGGGAATCTCAACTTTGTAGAGCGCTATGGTGATAATCTGCAGATGGAGGTAAAGATGTGACAGGCCAGTGGCTCGCTGACCCGAGGTAAGCATGCGACAGGCCAGTGGCTCGCTGACCCGAGGTAAGCATGCGACAGGCCAGTGGCTCGCTGACCCGAGGTAAGCATGCGACAGGCCAGTGGCTCGCTGACCCGAGGTAAGCATGCGACAGGCCAGTGGCTCGCTGACCCGAGGTAAGCATGCGACAGGCCAGTGGCTCGCTGACCCGAGGTAAGCATGCGACAGGCCAGTGGCTCGCTGACCCGAGGTAAGCATGTGGCCAGTGGCTCGCTGACCCCATGTACAACGCATTTACCTCTCATCACCTGCTACAGGAGCGCTTCCCATAGCAATGAAGCCACGCAGAGGACGTCCGGGGAACATCGGCGAATACTTCCTATGGGGGACTTTTCTGAATGATAATCTTCAATGAGATTCACTAACACTCCGGATACAGCAAAGTCGTCTCTGCCTGGCAGCCGCCGACCTGATAAAACATTCCAATTAAAGTCGGGGTGACATGTAGAGGCGGAGCGCGGCACAATGTACAGACACGGGGCCGGGAGGTGAACATTGTATGAGTGAAAAATATCCCATCAAACAGGAATCACTCCGAGACATCAGTGTGTACAGGTCAAGTCATACAATCCCAGCACAGGGTACGACGTATGTCAGACACGCAGCACAGGGCACGACGTATGTCAGGCACACAGTACGGGGTACGACGTATGTCAGGCACACAGTACGGGGTACGACGTATGTCAGGCACACAGTACGGGGCACGACGTATGTCAGGCACGCAGTACAGCGCACGACGTATGTCAGGCACGCAGTACAGCGCACGACGTATGTCAGGCACGCAGTACGGGGCACGACGTATGTCAGGCACGCAGCACAGGGTACAACGTATGTCAGATGCAGCACAGGGTACAGCATATGTCAGACGCAGCACAGGGTACAACACATATACATTCTTCAAAACATGACGGGGAAAAAAACTCATAATATTAGCACATGAGAGACTGTGTACAGAGAGAGAAATGAGCTCCATCCCAGCACAGGGCACTACATACCACACATATATTGCACCGGTGCCCAGCAGTGGGTTAAATATTATACTGAGTCCGGTATATAAAAGAGGTACCATGCAGTTGTAAATATATTGTGCCCAGAACAGGTGCCCCGATGTAGTATATAGAATATACAGTGCCCAGTTTTGCTATATTTACTATAAATGTACCGAGTATATAACAGGTGCCAATCTGTAGTATATATAATATAGTGTGACCAGCCATGATAAATATATATATTTAATTAATAATAAGAATAAGCCCAGTATAGAACAGACATCTGACTGCGGTATAAATACACATTATAATGAGCCCAGTATATAACAGGTGGCCAGTTGTGGTATATGGCCAGCATGTAGCACTCCTATATAGTGAGGCATGAGGTGCCGGCTCAGGGTTGGTGCAGAATGTATATACAGCTGTGGCACAGTACATGGTTATCTCTTGTCTAGCACTGGATCAGTATAGCATGTCATAGGAAAGGTACCCGAGTCCTGTACATTGATCATGTTCTCCATCCTGACACTGGTACCGTGTCTGGGAGTATGATGCATATCAATACACACCGAGGCACTGACCTGTCAGCAGTGTGGTATATACAAATATTAAACATATTCTGATGGATGAGGTATTTGTGCAGTATATAGAAGTACACATCATACGGGGGTGCAGTATATAGAAGTACACATCATACGGGGGTGCAGTATATAGAAGTACACATCATACGGGGGTGCAGTATATAGAAGTACACATCATACGGGGGTGCAGTATATAGAAGTATACTTCCTATGGGGGTGCAGTATATAGAAGTACACATCCTATGGGGGTGCAGTATATAGAAGTATAATTCCTATGGGGGTGCAGTATATAGAAGTATACAGCCTATGTGGGAGCAGTATATAGAAGTATACATCCTATGGGGTGCAGTATATAGAAGTATACATCCTATGGGGGTGCAGTATATAGAAGTATACTTCCTATGGGGGTGCAGTATATAGAAGTATACATCATATGGAGGTGCAGTATATAGAAGTATACATCATATGGGGGTGCAGTATATAGAAGTATACAGCCTATGGGGGAGCAGTATATAGAAGTATACAGCCTATGGGGGTGCAGTATATAGAAGTATACAGCCTATGGGGGTGCAGTATATAGAAGTATACATCCTATGGAGGTGCAGTATATAGAAGTACACATCCTATGGGGGTGCAGTATATAGAAGTATAATTCCTATGGGGGTGCAGTATATAGAAGTATACAGCCTATGTGGGAGCAGTATATAGAAGTATACATCCTATGGGGTGCAGTATATAGAAGTATACATCCTATGGGGGTGCAGTATATAGAAGTATACTTCCTATGGGGGTGCAGTATATAGAAGTATACATCCTATGGAGGTGCAGTATATAGCAGTACACATCCTATGGGGGTGCAGTATATAGAAGTATACTTCCTATGGGGTGCAGTATATAGAAGTATACATCCTATGGGGGTGCAGTATATAGAAGTATACAGCCTATGGGGGAGCAGTATATAGAAGTATACATCCTATGGGGTGCAGTATATAGAAGTATACAGCCTATGGGGGAGCAGTATATAGAAGTACACTTCCTATGGGGGTGCAGTATATAGAAGTACACTTCCTATGGGGGTGCAGTATATAGAAGTATACATCATATGCAGGTGCAGTATATAGAAGTATACATCATATGCAGGTGCAGTATATAGAAGTATACATCATATGCAGGTGCAGTATATAGAAGTATACTTCCTATGGGGGCTCACCTGCCATATGTGCGGGATGAGAGGCACCGGACCAGAGCTGGGCAGGATATAAAAGTTTGACCTTTCACTCCCTGAGGCACCGGGCACTGATCTGTACTTGGGTTGTACACATAGTGGTGTCTACATACATAATATAAAGGGCACCCATTTTTGGTCTGGTACCGCACTCAGCGAGGTACGAAGCACTGACTTGCCGTTGGTGCACACATGCAGGAAGACTCGAGGAACTGACCTAGCAAGCCTGTTGTATGTGGTAGAGGCAGGAGGCGCAGACCTGTTGTTGGTACAGTATAAAAAGTTGCACATTGCACTGGGGGAGGCATGAGGCACATGTGCCGGCAATGGCGCAGACTATAAAGATGCACCTGAGAGAGGTATGAGGCACTAACCAAGCAAGGCGGCAGTATAGAAAGTTGCACTGAATGCATTACAAAATGTTGCACTTTGAACCAAGTGCGGCATGATGTACGAACCTCGCATGGATGCAGTAGTAGTAAAGTTGCACATTGCACAGAGTATATGAGGCAGACGAGGTTACACTGCATGAGGCACGGTGCAATGATCTGGATCTAGTTCTGTGTTTACACTTTCACCCGATGAGGCTCGAGGTACTGACCTAGCAAGACTGCCTATTATAAAGTTGCACATGGAACTCAGCGAGGAATGAGGCACCTATGCAGTTTATAAAAGTTGCACATTGCACTGAGTGAGGCACAAGTCACTGACCTAGCAAGGTTACATTAAGTCAAGTTATACATTGAGGCACTGACCTGACACTGGTGCAGGAATGATAAAGTCGCACATTGCACAGACAGAGGCATGAGGCACTGGCCATAAAGTCGCACACTGCACTGACAGAAGCATGGGGCACAGACCATAAAGTTGCACATTGCATTGACAGAGGAAAGAGGCACGGACAATAAAGTTGCACATTGCATTGACAGAGGAAAGAGGCACGGACAATAAAGTTGCACATTGCTTTGACAGAGGCATTGGGCACTGACAAGATTGCACATTGCAATGGCAGAGGCGTGAGGCACTGACCAAACAGTTGCACACTGCACTGACAGGCATTAGGCACTGACCATAAAGTTGCACATTGCACTGACAGAGGTATGGAGCACTGACAAGGTTGCACATCGCACTGACAAGTTTGCACATCGCACTGACAAGTTTGCACATTGCGCTGACAGAGGCACTGACCTGGCGTTGGTGCAGTCGTTGTAGAGGGTCTCATGAGACATGAGGCACTAACAATACAGTTGCACATTGCACAGACAAAGGCATGAGGTACAGATCATACATTTGCACATTGCACTGACCATATTAGTTGCACATTGCACTGACAGAGGCATGGGGCACTGACCATATTAGTTGCACATGGCACTGACAAAGACATGGGGCACTGACAAGGTTGCACATTGCGCTGACAGAGGTATGGAGCGCTGACAAGGTTGCACATTGCGCTGACAAGGTTGCACATCGCACTGACAAGTTTGCACATCGCGCTGACAGAGGCACTGACCTGGCGTTGGTGCAGTCGTTGTAGAGGGTCTCGAAGTCCCGGCGGCTGATGAGCTTGCAGCGGTTGACCCCGGGTTGGATGGCCCCCAGCCCGCGCAGGACCCGCACCTGCTCCACCGTGCAGACCACCGGGGAGATGTCCAGCCGCTTCAGCTTGGTGTAGACGGTGTGCAGCCCCCCCACCAGGTGCTTGAGGAAGAGATCGAAGACCTGCGGGAGGCAGATGAGCTCCTGACCCTCCAAAATGAATGAAGCCACCTTCACCCCGTGCAGCTCCACCATGCGACACTCGCTGCTGGGGGCCCCCGTGCTGCCCGGGGCCCCGGGGAAGGTGGTGCTGCTGGTGAGCAGGCGGGGAGACAGGGAGCCCGGCGTGGACGGAGCTGTAGACACAGCCATCCTGCTGCCACTGTCACTCCGTCCAAGTGTTTGCCAGAGTCGGGAACCCGCACAGCTGACACGGGAGCCGGCCAATCACAGCCACCCCTGGGGGCTGAGGCCGAAGCTGATTGGAGAGGGAGGCGGAGGAGGGGCGGGACGCAGCTCTGTCATTCTACGCGAACCACTGGGACACCATGTGTTCCAGCTCCGCACACACACCGCAGACCAAGAGGGATGGCACTGCCCGGGGCTGGAGGGGTTAATCCGGTCCTGAAGGATTGGAGAGATACATACAGCAACCAGATCCCGATACATTGTATCAGAGAAACAAGGAAAAGCATCTGGGACAACAGGGGTAAAACCAGAACCAATCTACAGGCAGGATAAAAAAAAAACCTGTTCAGCACTGCAAGAGTTAATCCGGAAACCTTCCATGTGGAATCCGGAGAACAAATGCATCAGGTACACCAGGGGTTAAACCAGAAGCAATCTACGAGCAGGATAAAAGCCTTCTGATCATGTCGAGCACTGCAAGAGTTAATCCAGAAACCTTCCATGTGGAATCCGGAGAACAAATGCATCAGGTGCATCAGGGGTTAAACCAGAACCAATCTACAGGCAGGATAAAAAACCTGTTCAGCACTGCAAGAGTTAATCCAGAAACCTTCCATGTGGAATCCGGAGAACAAATGCATCAGGGGTTAAACCAGAAGCAATCTACGAGCAGGATATAAGCATTCTGATCATGTCCAGCACTGCAAGAGTTAATCCGGAAACCTTTCACGTGGAATCCGGAGAACAAAAAGCAATCCGGGACATCGGGGGTTAAACCAGAAGCAATCTATATAGCCTGCATCTAAAACCGGATACACTGTATCAGAAAAAAACAAACAAAAAGTATCCAGCACTGTAGGGGTTAAACCAGAAATACAAAATCGACAGGAGAGAGGCAAGTGTTCTGATCACGTCCAGCACTGCAAGAGTTAATCTGAAACCTTCCACGCAAGAAAGAACTTGGAATCTGGAGAACAAGAAGTGCCCGGTACATCAGGGGTTAAACAAGAAGCGATCTACAGCCTGCACTTAAATCCAGATACACTGTATCGGCGAAACAACAAAAAGTATCCAGCACAACAGGGGTTAAACCAGAGAAAAAATCTACAGGAGAGAGGCAAGTGTTCTGATCACGTCCAGCACTGCAAGAGTTAATCCGGAACCTTTCGCGCAAGAGAGAACCTGGAATCCGGAGAACAAAAAGCATCCAGTACATCAGGGGTTAAACCAAAAGCAATCTACAGCCTGCATCTAAAACCAGATACACGTTATCAGAGAATGAAAAGCATCCGGAACAGCAAGAGTTAAACCAGAAAAGCACCTACGGGAGAGAGGCAAGTGTTCTGATCGTGTCCGGCGCTGCAAGAGTTAAACCTTCCACGAAGAAGGAATCTGGAGAACAAAACGCATCCAGTACACCAAGGGTTAAACCAGAAGCAATGTACAGGATGGGGGAGACGTGTTCTGATCATGTCCAGCAGTGCAAGAGTTAATCTAGCCACCCCTTTTGTACAAAATTAAAATGATGAATAATCTGGGGAACAAACAACATCCAGCACATCAATAGTTAATTTAGCTCTAGGAGGGAGCGGAGTGGCCTAATTATGTCCAGCGCTACAAGAGTCGATCCCGAAATCTTTTGTGCAAGAAAGAACTTAGCATCTGGGGAACAAAAACCACCCAGTACATCAGGAGTTAAATCAGCAACAAGTTATAGGGGCAAGACCAGCGTTCCACATCCATACCCAGCACTGCAAGGGTTAACCCAGCGACTCTTCTGCAGAAGAAATGGCTGAGGATCCGGAGGATGAACTGCATCCAGCACAACATACATAGGG